GGGGCCTCCGCGCCTCCCCCGACGCCGCCCCCCCTTGGGAGCTGCCCCCCGGCGCGGCCCGCGGCGGCCAACCCGGGCGCGGTCCGCGGAGAGCGCCGCTGCGGAGCCCCTGCCGCCCCTCGACCGCCCCGGCAGGGCCCCAGGCAGGCACGGGCTTGGCATCGCTCGGACGTGTGCATTTTTTTCCGTCGGCGAGGACAGTCGAGGAGCATCCTGGATCGTCTGGCGAAAAAGCCAGGCACGACCCCGAGCAAAAACACAGGGAAGGGGCGTCCGAGCGATGGCGAGCGGGCGCCCTCGGCGATTCGGGCCGAACGAAATTACCAGAGCGTGAATGACCTGCCCCGCTTTCGCTTCCAGGCGAAGCCAAGTCATGCCGCGCGCCTCCTCGTCAAGCGGCCTGACCTGTGCAGGCCGCAGTGTGGCATCGCTTGGTACCTCTTGGAAGCGAGGGTGGTCAATAGCGAGGTATGTCTGTTTGCCCCCCACGAAATGGGGGGGGATAGGGAAAGGGGGGGTTACGAAACCTGCTGCATGCAGCTGGTTTCGGCCCCGCCGCCGGGCCCATTCCTCGATACGTGGGCGCCTCCTGGTGCCAGGAGGCGCTGGGAAAATCAGCTACGTGAGCTGATTCTCTACGCTACCCTTCGCTATCCCCCCTTTCGTTCCCCCCGAGCAATGTCGCCAGGGTGCCCAAACGGGGTGGTGACCACACAGTGCGGTGAGTCGGTGGGGATTCGTGGTCACCGCACGGTTTTTTTGGGACTCGGGTCGTTCTCCGAGGACGTCTTGGGCGATTGGGGCATCCGAGGTCCCAAGACCGTGCGTTGACAGACCGTGCGGTGAGGTCTTAGGGGATTGCGAGGTCACCGCACGGTCTGTCACCGCACCGTTTCGGGACTCCAAAGTCATGTCACCAGAGTGCCCCAGAATATGGTCGGTAAGGCGTCTCAAGGAATCCCAGTGCGAACCCTGTGCCGTTTCTGGACCACCTCTCGACGGCCACACCCGCCACGGCGGCCCTGATGCCCCGACAGGCCCCCGACATGCTCCCCGACATGCCTTACCGATGGAACCCACGATGTTTCCAGGAGACCCTTGAGAGGCCAACTTACTGAACCGTAGCATGGCTTGAGATGCTGTTGATATGGCCCGAGTCGAGCCCGGATGGGCCCAAATGGCTTTAATCATATTCCCAAACGGCTCCTAGGCCGCCCCAAGATTGCCCCTATAGGGCCCACGACTACGACTCCACACGAAGGCCCAACACGGGCCCAAGGTAGCCCCGAGGCGTTCTGTTCGCCTGCCGTTCCTTCTGCTTTCCCCTCGTCCGGAGGCAGGTATTCTGACCAACAGATCAATGATTTTCGGGCCCCCCCAAACAGTGTGACCACGCCGCGTGGTGTGTCAGTCTGAATTCGGGGTCACCACGCGGTTTTGGGACTCGAGTCATTGTTCGAGGATGTCACAAGGTCCCAAAACCGTGCGGTGACGGACCGTGCCGTGAGGTCGTTGGGGGTTCCAGGGTCACCACGCGGTCCGTCACCACACGGTTTTGGGGCCGCGAACATTTGTCATCCATGGATCTGCCATCGGGTTCACCCACGACAGCCTCTGCTCCTCGCTGATCACTCCTCGCATCTCCCTTCCCCCTCGATCTTCTCAAGAGCAGCACGTGGCATTAGCAATCAGAAGCATCGACAAGCAGCACCCTGCAGCATCAAACATAACGTCCACAGCGAACAGCAGCACGCAGTAGACAGTAAGCAGCAGCTGCGACATCACATGGTAACAGCAAGCAGCAGCATCATGCAGCAGGCAGAGGCACCCTGCAGCAGCACGCAGCATGTAGAACTGGCCTCCGGCAGCGCCATGCAGCCACTATAAACAACGACAAGCAGCATCGGCAAGCATTACCAGCAGCACGCTACAGCGGCAGCAAGCAGCAGCACTCAGTACCATGCGCGCAGCCTCAACCGGCTCGAAGCAGCAGCAAACAGCAGTGCCGCGGCACATCACGCAGCAGCGCGCAGCGGCCAAGCACCAGCCCGCAGCGGCAGTGAAGATCTACACGTATATAGGAAGTTGCGGCGTGCACCATCAGTCACCAGCGAGCGGTAGGCCGCGGCATCGAGCGGACGGGAAAAGAATGAGGCAGGCAAACCAGAAATCAGGCGGTCCGGCTAAACACTATCTTCAGGCCTGCAGGAAAGCGGCCACGCAAGCAGGACAGCCTGCAAGCGGTCCTTACCCTTGCTGCATCCGGTTCAGCTGTCGTGGCCCAGCTGATAGAAATCGCTGGACGTGGTCCTCGTGCTGACCTGTCTTGGCTTGAGATCAGGCAGCCCCTGATCATTTTCAACAGAAGCCTTCGTGGACGGTAGTCTCGGCTACACGTAAGAGTGACCTTTCGCCAGAGGTACCTTTGGTGCGGGCCCAATCCCCCCGCCGCTGAGCGCGAGGCGGTAGCGGCGGCTTGCGCGCCCGGGTTTGGCCACCCCGCGTCCCCAGTTCAGCCGCGCACCAGCGGGCATTCTTGCCCAGGGTCTTTCTTGCGTGTCGCCGATGGTCCGCTGGTCAGCCCTAGTCAGCTACAACGCTGGGATAAGCGCGTGCGAGAGCCGTGGTCCCTTGCCCACCCTGTGGGCCGGGGCGGGGGCCCCAGGAAACCACCGTCGGGCGACGAAATCCATAATTACACACGCACTGCTCTGCACGAGCGAAATTGGTACGGAAAGAATGGGTACAATGCCCAACAACAGTTCCTGTTCGTTTTGACACAGGGTCCGCTGTCCGCGCGGCCGCGGCCTGTGCCCATCTGAGACAGATGGCCGCCTGCCCAACAGCGGCCGCTGTTGGTTTGGGACAACATTTGTTGCTGGGTATTGTACCCTGTTTTTCCGTACCCATCTCGGGCGTCCAAAATTGCTCCCTGGCCAGGCCCGATCATCCTGAACCCAGGAGCTGTGCGCACGCCCTCCTGGCCAGGCCGGGAGGGCGTGGCGTTCGCGCCGCTGCTGGGTCCAGGCGGGCCCTGGCCAGGGAGCAGCTTGCGTGTATAGCCAAGCAGTGGCGAAGCGTCCAGGCGTGCCTATAGTCCTACCGGACAATGTTCCAAAAACCTTGTGTGGTTCCCACGAAAAGTTCTTAGAGCATTTCTGGTTGGGACTGTCTTGTTTTATCTGTTTTATCACATTGGGCTTATGTTCTGAGAACACTGCTTTTGCTGTCATTAGAACAGTTGTTGGGTTCAAGAACATCTCGTGGTAGGACTACAGGGACGCCGGCACGGTCGGTCCCTGCTCAATATAGAGTTCGTCGCCCTACCTCCAGGCAGACCCACAGTGGCCATGAGGCGGCCAGGGCCGGCCGACGCCGAGCCCGCGCAGCCAGGCCTCTGCGGGCCCCTGGCGGGGCCCGCGGGGTTCGGCCAGCCCGGTCGGCCGCCGAAGAGCCGCCGAGGGCCGCGAGATGCTGCCGAGGGCCGCCGTGGGCTTCCCTGGGCGAGCAGTGGCGGAGCGCCCCGGCTTGCCCGTGTGTAGGCTCACCGGAGAGTGTGCTGAGAGCCTTCCGTGGTCTGCGCGGGATGTTCCGAGAGCATTTTCCTGGCTGCGACCGTCTCGTGGTGACACGTCCGGTGCGTGTTCTGAGACCACTGCTCCGGTTCTTGGGCCATTTTCAGGAGGAAAAGAAACACAGACGCAATTAATCTTCGATTCCCAGGAAACTATTGGAGAATATGGGAAGTGGCCAGGAAGACAGAAGCCCCGAAAATATCGGAAAATATGGGGAGTCTTTCTCTTTGTGTGTATTTATCTGTGTGCCCTGGGGCCCCTTCACATGTGTGGATTCTGGCAGCATGTCGTGGCAGGCCTGCAGGAATGCCTGGGCGGTCGGACCCTGCTCAGCCTGGGCGGGAGCCGCGGGGTGCTCGCGGCGGCCACTCGGCAGCCCACTCGGCGGCCCTCGGCGGCCGCAGGCGGCCTGCGGCCCGCGGGGCGGCCGAGGGACCGCGGTGCGAGAAGGGCGCCCGCTGGCAGGACGCGCTGTCGCTGCTCGACGAGATGTGCCGGGCGGCGGTGGAGCGGGACGTCGTTAGCTACAGCGCCGGCATCAGCGCCTGCGAGAAGGGTGGGCAGTGGCAGCAGGCGATGGCGCTGATGGGGCACCTGCGCGGGGCCAAGCTGCAGCCGACCGCTATCCAAGCAGTGGCGAGGGGTCCTGGCGGGGCTGTAGGCCTACCAGAGAATGTTCTAAGAACCTCGTGTGGTTCCCACGAAGTGTTCTTGGAACATGTTTTGGCTGGGACTGCCTCGTTTTGACACATCCGGTTCATGTCCTAAGAACATTGTTTTTGTTCTTAGAACGTTTTCTGTGGGTTCTAAGAACCTGTCGTGGTAGGCCTATAGGAGTCCCGGGGCGGTCGGCCCCTGCTGAAGCTCTATCCCTCGGGGGGAGGAGGTGCCGACGGCGCCCGTTGCGAACCCGGAGGTGCCTCGTCGTCACGGCCGGATGCTCCCTGGAGGTCTGGTCGGGGCGCAGCCCGCGCGAGGAGGCCCGTGGTTACCAGTGTGAAGCATATCCCTATCCCTATGTTTGACATCACCTCACCTCGATGCCGATCTTAAGGACTCCCTCAGTTTTTGAGGGCCTATCCCTAAGAGTGTCCTCGCTTTTTGCTCGCCCATCTTAGGGATAGGGATACGTTTGAGGCTGGTTATGTGGAGTGAGCGGCGTCGGTGCCTTTTGGCACGCCCCGTCCCAGACCTCTGGCGTCGTGAACAGAACCACGACGGCCAGCCTCAAGTCGCGCCTGTCCCTCCACAAGGGGAATATTCAAAAACAGTGAAACAATGGTCTGGGTACTTTTGGGGCATCTTTGGAGTATGTTTGGAGTATTTATTTTTTCTTTCGTCGAAAATCCCCCTGTAGGGGGACAGGCCCGACTTAAGGCTAGCCTTCTCTTCAGCTTGGGCCCCTGGGAGCCTCAGGGGTCCAACATGTCAAGCGGTGGCGAAGCGCCCTGGCGTGCCTACAGGGACACCAAGCCATGTTCTAAGAACTTGGTTTTTGTGGTTCCCACGAAATGTTCTTAGAGCAGTTCTGGCTTGGACTGTCCTGTTTTAAGACATCGGGTTTATGTTCTAAAAACATTGTTTTGTTTTCGGAACATTTTTGGCTTCTCAGAAAATTTCGTGGTAGGCCTATAGGAATGCCAGGACGGTTGGTCCCTGCCCAAACATGAACCACATCGTCCATCGGTATTCCTCTGGGTTCTAGGGGAACCAAGACTCTTGTGGAAACTCTCTCTGGACCCATCTCCTCAATATTCCGACGAACTTCTGCACGAGGCCCAAGCTACTTCATAACAGTGCCGAAACCTGTCCTCCAGGATCTGGTACAGACCCATCGAGCCTCATCCGTTCACCATCCGATGTGGCTCCAGGGGCGATCCACCGAGAGGGCCCACACGGCGGAACCCTGGTCCTAGGATGGCGTCGGAAGTTCTGTGGGCCCACGCCACGAGCACAGAGTGACGTCGGAGGTCTGCGGGTCACCTACAATGCCTTGATAAGCGCGTGCGAGAGAGGTTCAGGGGCGGCTTAAACGCCCTCCAGCAAGCCGATCCCCCCCGCTGGCCCTCGGGGCCGCCGTCCGCTGGACATCTGCCCGCACCGCGGGGGGGGGGCCAGCGGGGGTCGTCACGGAAGGGGGTCGTCACGGAGAGGGTCGGTTTGGCCGCGCCCGCAAGGTGCGCGGTGGCAAAGCGGGTTGTCGTTTTTGAGAGAGCTGTTGGAGACGAGCGTGGAAGCAAACGTCAGAAGCTACAACGCCATGTGTGGGACGTGCGTGCCCTGGCAGCACGCGCTGGTTCTGCTTGGCGAGATGTCGCAGGCGAGGATCGACCCTGGCGCGGGCTTGAGTGCTGGGATCAACTCGTGCGAGAAAGGCGGCAACAAGCATCACACCCTGTCTTTGTTCAACGAGCTGGTGCAATCAGCGTCGATGGCGATGCTTGGACGATGTCATCCCGAGCCTTAGACAGTGGAAGCCAGAGTATTTCCGAGTTCCGGGCGTCGTGCAAGAACATCGGGGAGCAGATGTTGGACTTTGACACCTCAACCATGGACAACGGATGTGGACCAAGACTGCGCATCTCACTCATTACGATTAGGAAGGCCAGCCAACTTTCGAGTTGCATGCGGGGCAGCGAATGCAATTGTTGATCACACGTAGCTGCCGCGATCGGCATGACTTCGCACATAGCTGACGACGCAGATCGGTAGCCTTGTCGCTCTTAAAGCGTATGGTGAGCTGCGGGAGCCGAGTTGACAGGAGAGGAGAGGAGAGAAACGGAAGAGGAGGAGGAGGATGACGATGGGGACAGGAGGATCTACGAGGAGGGGCATGATGATGCTGATGATGACGAGGATGAGGATCATGATAATGATGGTGATGATGATGTTGATGATGATGATGATGATGATCATGATGATGCTGACGATGATGACGATGGTGATGATGCTGATGTTGCTGATGATGATGCTGCTGCTGCTGATGATGATGATGATGATGCTGATGATGATGACGATGACGATGCTGATGCTGCTGCTGATGATGATGATGAAGAGGTTTTGGTTGGTGATTCTGATGTTGCTGATGATGCTGCTGATGCTGCTGATGATGACGGTGTTTATGATGATGATGATGCTGCTGATGATGATGAGGAGGAGGAGAAGGATGCTGCTGCTGCTGATGCTGCTGATGATTATGATGATTATGATGATGATGATGCTGCTGATGCTGATGCTGATGCTGCTGATGCTGCTGCTGATGATGATGATGATGATGATGATGGTGGTGGTGGTGGTGGTGGAGGAAGGAGGAGGAAGAGGAGGAGGTGGAGGAGGAGGAGGAAGGAGGAGGAGAGGAGGAGTGGAGGAGGAGGAGGAGGAGGAGGAGGAGGAGAGGAGGAGGAGGAGGAAGGAGGAGGAGAGGAGGAGGAGGAGGAGGAGGAGGAGAGGAGGAGAAGGAGAGAATGAGGAGGACGAGCAATGGGAGGAGTGAAGTAGGCGGAGGAGGAGGAGGACGAGGACGAGGACGAGGAGGAGGAGGGAGAGGAGGAGGAGGAGAAGGAGGAGGAAAGGAGGAGCAGGAGAAGAAACACGAGCAATAGGAGCAGGAGCGTTGGCAGGAACACGAGTTGTTACAAGCTGCGCACACTGTAGTCAATCGAATTCTCATGGCGGTGAGGAGATGGATAGGGAGAAGGGTGGGGGGGGAGAATTCCAAGAGGTAGATGAGGAGGATTGGAGGGGGAGGAGGAGGAGGAGGAGGAGGAGGATGATGAAGGAGGGGGGGTGAGAATGAGGAGGAGGAGGAGCATGAGGAGGAGGAGGAGCAGGAGGAATAATGAGAAGGCGGAGGAGACTGTACACGAGTAATAGGAGCAGGAGCATGGGCAGGAGCACCACGAGTTGATAGAAGCGGCACCGCCTTTAGTCCACATAATTCTCATGGCGGTGAGGAGATGGATAGGGAGAAGGGGGTGGGATAAGATGAAGAGGTGGAGGAAGAGGGTTGGATGGGCGGAGGAGGAAGAGGAGGATGAAGGAGGGAGGGTGTGGAGGAGGAGCAGGAGGAGGCGGAGGAGGAGGATGAGGAGGAAGAAGGAGAAGTGAGGACTGTGCAGGAGGGGACCGGCGGGCTGGGAGAGGAGGACGGGATGGGAAGATGGATGGCCTTGTTCATCTTCCTTCCTCCCTCTCCGCCCTCCCTCCCTCACTCCTCGGTCCTCCAGCCGTGCTTCGGCCCCCCCCGCTCCCCCTCACCTGGCCCCTCTCACCCGCCATCTTTCTTTTCCCTTGACCCCCTCCTCCCTCTCCCCTCCCCCCTGGCCCCCTCCTCCCCTTCCCTTCGCCTGCCCTTCCCCTTCACCCCCTCCTCCGGCCCCCCCCCCTCCCCTGCCCTCCCCTCACCCACTCCTTCCTCTCGCCGCCCCCCCCCTCCTGCTGTCCCCCTGCCCCCCCTGCCCAGTTACCCTCCCCTTCCCCCTCCCCTTCTCCCTCCCCGCCTATACTCCCCCCCTCCGCCCGCTATCTCGCCCTGCCCTGTGCTCTGCGCCGGAGCTGGCCGGTGCCCGAATGGGGGCCCTAATGGGCACCCCTTCGATCCCCCCTTTGGGGCCCCCCTTAGATCCTTGCGACTCAATGTTTTCGAGCCGGGCGCTTTCGCCTTTTTTCGAGTCCCAGGACCCTCACAGATCGATCTGGCTCGAAACATGACGCAGAGAGGCGGGCTCCGGGGCTCCAGGCGCGGATTGTAATGATGTTGCCATTTTTTCGCGACGTCGGATCTCATGTGTGTGTGTGTGTGTGCTCTCCTACCCGCTGATGCCACATCGCCGGAGCAGTCCCTCTGCCGAGCCGCCGACGCAAGAGTGTGTGTGTGCCTTCCTCCGCCTCTCGGCGACAGCGACTGGTGTGGTTGCTCCGGGGTGTGGCCCGCGATCGGCGCCGCCGGGACTTTGGTCAAGCAGCGGCGAAGCGTCCTGGCGTGCGTATAGAGTCCTACCAAAAAAAATGTTCTGAGAACCTTTTGTGGTTCCCACGGATGTTTTCCCACATCGAGCTTGTGTTCTGAGAACCTTGTGTTTGTCCTCAGAACATGGTTGAGTTCTGGGAGCATGTCGTGGCATGCCTGTATGGATGCCGGGGCGGCTGGTCCCTGCTCCACTTGGGGGCCACCGCGCTGCGCCACACAGAAAAGGTCTGCCGAGACCTCGCCCGGGCACGGCCGAGATCTGCGTCGAGGCCCTCGCCCCTGGCATCGCTCGGACGTGTGCATTTTTCCTTCGGCGAGGACCATCGAGGAGCATCCTTGATCATTTCGCGAAAACCACGCACGAAACCGAAAAAAAACACAGGAAATGGGCGTCCGAGCGATGGCCAGCGCCCGCTCCCCGCGGGCGCGGGCTGCAAGCCGCACGCCCTTTGCAAATCCACGCCCGCCAGGGCCGCCGAGCCTCGCCCTCGCCCTCGCCCCGGCTCCTCCTCGCGGCCGCGGAGGCATCCCGGCGTATTGGACCAGCATCCCGCCGGAGGCGCGCTGGGCCGGCGGCGTCGGGCCGCATGGGGTGGATGTGCTGTCCACGAGGCCGATGATGATAGCGATGATTAGGGCGACGGCGGCGGCGGCGATGGTGATGGTGATGGTGATGGTGATGGTGATGGTGATGGTGATGGTGATGGTGATGGTGATGGTGGTGGCGGCGATGGTTGGATATTCGTGGTGATGATGGGCAGGCGTACGAGGATGGGGAGGGTGTGGGGGGAGGAAGAAGAGTAGAGGAGGAGCGCGAGGGGAGTCAGGGGAATGAGAGGTGGGGGATAAGCAGGAGAGTTCGGAGGAGGACTAGGAGGGACGGCGGATCAGGCGGATGGGGGAGGAAAGAGGAGTTGGAGCGGTAGAGGAGGAGGCGGCGGAGGCGGCGGAGGAGGCGGAGGAGGAGGAGGAGGAGGAGGAGGAGGAGGAGGAGGAGGAGGTGGTGGTGGACGGCCATGAAGGCGGGTTGGTTTCTCGGAGGCGCGTCCGCGGCCCACTGAGACGGCGACGAGGAGCCCGAGGACACCCCGAAAGGCAAGCCGCCCAGGCATTGGCCCCCCGAGGAGGGAGGCCATAGCCAAGCAACCCGCCGCCCCGCGGAGCCGAGCCCCCAGCAGCCGCCAGCGGCCGCCCCGCAGAAGCCCCGACGGCCAGGCCCCAACGACCCACACCAGGCTCCAGCTTTACGAGCCGCGCCCAGCACCTCGGCGGCCGTGCTCCTGCCGTCGGCTGGGCCCCCGCCCTTCGGCGAGGCCCATTCCAAAACCGCGAACCTCGGCGGCTGGCCTCACAGCCCGCGAGGCTCTGGGTAAGCACCCCGTCAGGTCGTCGAGGGTGGCGGGGGTCGCACTGCGTCGGCGGGGGCCGTGAAGACGCAGCCGCTCCGACGGCTGCCAACGAGCACGCACAGCAGGCTTTCTTCGTCGGGCTCGGCGTTGCCGTCAGGAGCATACAGCACCCCCACGCGCCCGTCGGGAAGGCAGACGCGATCACCTACCGCGGGGCGCCAGCACAGTGCCTTCCCGCCCTTCTCCTCGAGCTCCTCTGCCACCTTCGGCACGGACTTCTCGAAGCCGCGCTCGTTGTTAACCCCGTCCTCGAACTCGTCCTGCTTCTGGTGCTTGGTGGACCGCGCGATGCTGCTAGTCTCCATGACCTCCACTGCCATCTCGTCCAGCAGCTTGCGCGTCGTCACGAGCTCTGCCTCGAACCCGCTCTCGTTGAGCATCCCGCCGTGCGCCGCCTGGCACCGCGCCTCCGCGCCGAGCTCCGCGTCGTACACGATCTGCTCCAGTGCGTGCTTCTGGGACTTGAGGGACCACGCGGTGCTGCGGGACTCCATGACCTCCTCGGCCATCTCTTCCAGCAGCTTGCGCATCGTCGCGAGATCGGCCTCGTGCTTGCAGAAGGCGTCGATGTGCGCCCAGTGCTCCACAAACGACCCCTCCTGCGAATCCGCGCCAACGCCCCCGATGTCCAAGTCAGCGTACTCCTTCACGCCCTGGCCCTCGAGCTCCGTGTCGTCGAAGCTCTCCTGGGCCTCCGCGTCGTGATCGACCGAGTGGTCCGCGAGCTGCTCGCCGAGATCCGCGTTGCACTCGGTCAGCTCCATCCCTTTCTCCTCCTCCTTCACGCCCTGGCCCTCGAACTCCTTCTCGTCGAAGCTCTCCTGGGCCCCCGCGTCGTGATCGACCGAGTGATCCGCGAACTGCTCGCCGAGCTCCGCGTCGCACACGATCTGCTCCAGTTCGTGCTTCTGGGACTTGAGGTGCCCCGCGGTGCTGCGGAACTCCATGACCACCACAGCCATCTCGTCCAGCAGCTTGCGCATCGTCGCGAGCTCGGCCTCGAGCTTGCAGAAGGCGTCAATGTGCGCCCAGGGCTCCACGGGCGACCCCTCCAGCGACTCCGCGTCCATGCCCCCAGAGTCCAAGTCA